GAGAGGCAGGAGGGACACACAGGGAGAAATCTGCTGTGGAAAATCACTGAGGAAATCTAGAGAATATTTGTGCTATTTTCCCAGTGAAATGCCACCACATCCCCAACACATTTGACTATAATTTGCAAACATTTTGCACTTCCATTGTTTTTCAGCTCCCAGAGGCAAATTTCTAGTGAAACTTTCCTCTAAAACTATTGCGCGGCAGGATGACTGCATCCAGCTGCCACTCAGTTCCCGAGCAAAAAGGTACAAGGTCACAACCCGATCACCTGGCAGCGAGCGTAAAAATGTACCATTTAAGATACCCGGCCTGATTTTAACACTGTCACTGTGACAGAGGATTACAAGCCCCAAAACAAATGGAGGGGTGGGGATGGGGGGCAGGTTCCCAGCGTTCAGCCATTTTTGTCTGTGCTGAGCAGGGATGATGGAGCAGATTGCATTTCTGACATTTCCTCATTATATAATCCAAAAGAGGACAGACAGACAGAAAGCTATGGCAGGCGGGCTCGGATTGAGACAGGCAGATTAACTAGAGAAATAGATGGCCGGGAGGATAGACATGTGCAGAGGTGGAGGGGTCAGTCAAATAGGAAGAAAATACACATTCAACTTCTGAAACAGTTTGGACCGTGTCAGAAAGATAATTCCTGTAAATATCTTACCTTAAAATGATTAATTTAGCATCAACAGCCACTTACACACATCTCAAATTTTATGGTCTTGTTAGAGTTATGGAACGCCAACGTGTTCAATAATGAATTAGGCCGACAGAGCGAAGTGCAGGCAGACGCATATGCAGGCTGGGAAACAAGGTAGAGTGGACCGTACAGGAGATTCAAAGCAATCATCTGTGGCCTGCAGGGATAATCACTGCAAAGCCCCACTGTCCCATTCACTGAGGATAAAACCCACTGGATTAATCTGTAGGCCTACAGAATACACACACACACACACACACACACACACACACTCAGAGAGAGAGAGAGAGAGAGAGAGAGAAAGAGAGAGAGAGAGAGAGAGAGAGAGAGGGATGCTTCACAACACTTACATAACACATGGACCACTCTCGCCCTCTTTTACTTTCCCTCCTTCATATGTTTTCCCTTTCACTTCGCCATTCACTGCCTCTCTCACTTCCGCTCTCACCAACACACACAAAACCTAGAGTGCACACAAACACACACACACACAAACACACACACTGACCGCCAACCCCCCTCCTCTCCTCCATTTCTTCACTGCTCTCTTCCCGCATGCACACATTCAAATGGACACCTGTCAACATGCTGCGCCATACACGCTGTTGATTTGTTCACACTCACACATACACAGTGGTGACAGGCGCATATAGTGCAACACATATATACATATATGCATACTGTGGGCTGCACACAGGACATAAGGCATAAAGAAATAGACATAAAGAAAGAGACCACTCATACTGCATCGGCAAAAGGATTCAAATATATACAACACACACATGCACATACTAATAACAAGCACATATATGACTGCCACTGCCAGAATCTATGCTCACATCCCTCTAAATAATGGTTTATAGAGTGAACACCAACAGCAGAAATGTGTATCATGTCGCCCAGATGGTTGTCAGCACAGTCCTCATGCACATGCAAGATACTAACAAAACATGGATCCCCGCTGAACATTGCTCCAATATCTTCTAAAGTATTTTCTTTAATTCGTTCTTAAGTTGTTCTTAAGAAAACTCTACGTCAGATTCATTAACATGTTCTTAAACCTTAAAACTGTGTTCTCAGATTGATCAATGCCAATCTCCTCGTAAACTGAAAGCGTGTGCCAGTTGGACCTAATTAGCATAGGTAAACGCCCGAAAATGTCCTTAAAAGGGCATGAGACTGAGGGGTCGTGTGCAGACACAGACAGACGTCACAGAGAGATACCGTAAGGGAAAGTTGAGAAAATGCTGAAACTAAACTCTAAAGACAGAGCACTGGAATCAAAATCAGTGTTAAGTAGCGTTCACTCATTTTAAGAGACCGTAATGCTTTGTAAAATAACAATATCATTTTATGACAAAAATATTATTGTAATTTAAATAATATAGCTAATATTATGTAAATGTAGAACAGAAGAAAAACAAATAAGAAAACATTGGTGAATGTCAGAATCTTTGTAAAAAGTGTGTAAGTGGGTTTTAAGAAGAAATTTCTTTTTAAGAATGGTTGCTGAATGAGGTCCATTGTTTTGCAAGATACAAGTAAGTCTCAAGTCAAGGCTATGAAGTCCAGAGTCAGGGCTGAAATCCTAAATTTTGTATTTCAAATCCTAAAAGATTCATTATTTTTCCGTGTGCTGGTGTGCACAGCCAAACGCAACTTCCCTCCAGGTTGTGCAATGTGATTGGCTGCTGCTGGTGGGTTGTACAAAGCACCTGTGATCATGGAAATGGAGACGTCAAGTCATGGGACTGAGGTCCAAGTGAAGTCATTGGTGTTGAAGTCAGTTGCAAGTCTCTTCAAGTCAAGTTGAGTCCGAAGTCATGCAACTCGAGCATGCTCCTCTGTAAGCAGCACAAATGACTCAGCTCTTAATACACAGCATGTGGGCGAGACCAAAACATCCTGCAGGACTTCCAAAAACACCTCCTCCTCCCAGAAAAGACAGAATTAACTCGAGATGACAAACTGTGACATTTATAAATCTATTTATAAGTCATTCTAAGTCTATGTTGACAAATGACATGTCATCTAAACATAAACATACACATCCAAAACAAGTCTGTATATGAAAATACCTCAGGGTAGAAGAGGCAACAGTTGCCAAGAATGGACGGCAAATTCAATCTCTCTGCTCATTTTATTGTCGAAACCTAATAAGTGAGCAACATGCACTGAAAAAGAAAATTGTGATCACAGTGCATTCTTGGATATTAATGTTTTTCTGCCATCTGGCATTTTTATAGCTGATCACATTGAAATTCAACAAGAAGACTGGAACAAAAAGAACAAGATGAACAGGCAACAATGTGTGAATGTGGTTTGAAAGGGACAAGTGTGCGCGTGTGTGTGTGGCTTGGGTGAAGAAGTGGTGAGTGACGGGTGCTGACGGGAGGGGAAGGGGAAGGGGGGCAGATTTCTGTGAGCTGAGGCCGGAACCATTTTCTCACCATGTAACCGATTATTTCTGTGCCCTGGTTCATCGTACCATCTAAGCTGTAGAGAATCAGTAAAAACACATGAAAAAGCTCAAATCACGATTTCACCTACCAACCAAGTAGTGTGTGGTTAGTTGTGGAGCGGCTTCCCAGCCTCTGGCCAGATGTTTAGAACAAAATAGGACCCTGTTTGATTATCTTTCAAAGTGCCTGTTAGAGTAGAGTAACTCACAAGCTGCTGCCAAAATGCACGTAACAGAGCTCATCACATTTTACACACTGAGTTTTTATGTTCCAACTTCTTCCACACCAAATCACTTCTATGAAACTAAAGCAAAAACAAAATCCCAGCACAGATTACCAAGGGAAGGCGCAGAAATGACATGTTTTGGTTGGATACCAGTGTATGTTGTTTGCTTTATGGTCATTTCCTGCCCTAATTGAAATATCTATCTGTTTGCTCCTGATTACAAACAACACCAGGCTGCCAAAGACTACACACACACACACACACACACACACACACACGTGTTGATCTACTTAGTAGAGTTGGCCTGAGCTCTTTGTCCTCACTGACATTAAAACAGGTACAAAGGCAGGATGGGAAGCAGGGAGGGCCAAGAGTTTGTATAACACTCTTTTTTCCTGGAATGGAGGCACACATGCATTTCTAGAATAACACAGTTTTCACTAAAATTATTTAACCGCATTCAATCTCAACTTGGTGCAGTGTTATGCCTGTATATACACATCACATTACAACTCACACATCTTCACAACTGCATCAGTTCACACACAGTGATGTGTGTCACATGACTTTATTGTGTGGTTTCACTGACTATGAATAATTTGTGAAATAAGCCGTTATCACTAAAGTTGCCACTGGAGACACAGGAACAAAACTTTTGACTCTTGGTGTCCTCAGCAACAAAACAACAACATCAATTTGGGATTCCAGCTGAGAGTTTACTCTACACTACTAATGCATCATAATAGATAGATAGATAGATAGATAGATAGATAGATAGATAGATAGATAGATAGATAGATGTGGCAACCTAGATGAGATCATTTCACTTGTTTCCAGACCAGATCAAATTCTAATTTCTTGAAGTGACCTGCCTCATTCACAACCAGACAAACGTCCTAAGCAGTACCAAGAGTTAGAATTTTTTTCCTTCTCATTTTACGAAAATCAGAACTTTTGAAACAAAGTTTCGCATTTAAGGCGTGTTATTATTGGTCAGTATTTTTGCAGCCTGTCGTTCAGTTGTGTCGGTGTATGTCAGATTGCTCCGGAGCTGTCCGCGGTGCTGAACATGATTCAGTCTGCAAAGAGCCTTTTAACTGCGACTTAACCCTGCAAGCCGTTAGACACACGAGAAACAACTCCACAGAGGCTGAATTATCCTTTAATTCAATCCTCACGACAAACAGTTACTTTAATCATGTAGCGTGTTTAACACGGAAACCTGGTACTGTATCAGTGGGTAGAGAAAACACCACCAAGTTAGATCCTTTAAACAAATATATCAGGACTGAGGCACTTCAGGTGCTTCAGTAACATCAGAGGAACATTTATACTGATTCTCCCTTCATATATGACTTCATTTAATATCACCTAAAAAACCAATCAGTGCTGTAAAAACACGAACAAAGGCAATAGCCATAACAAACACCAGACAGTCCTACAATTGCTGGACAAACCACCGACAACGCAGCACATATCACCCTATGATAAATAAGATGAAACAGTCTACAGTTAACTTCAGAGCCACATATTTTATGAAAAATTCAAACTTTAAATCATGTTCTTTTTTTGGCTAAAACAAACAAAAAACAAGATAGTCAAACATACCTCGTCAAGTTTCTTCTGCTCTTCTCCTTCTTCTTCTTTCGATTTTGCTTTAAGTGTTTCGATACACGGTGAACGCGTCCGTCCGTGCTACCGCTCCGTTTAACAGGGCTGTCCCCGGTGGAAACACGCCGCCCTCCTCCCAACCAATAGTTAAGCCCAACGGATTTACGGACTGCAAACTTCCTGTTAATATTTTACAAAATAAAACCATTATGGAGGAACCTCAGCATGACAGTGAACTGACTAGATTTTGTCACCAACGGTACCCCCATGACCGTTTTTTCAAACCGTTGCTAGCGCCATCTCCAACGGCGGACATGTTTCAAATGAGAGAAAACACAACTGTAAATTAAGTTAACCTGTCTCAGCACCAGCCTACTCAGATACAGTATTGAACCGTCATCTTCAGACAACCGTGAACAATTCAAACCAACCGTAAAACTGGGGAAAACAAATAAAAAGGGAGGGAAAATTCCCTCTCTCAAAACTGTCCCGCAACTAGAGAAACGAGCCCTAACAACCGCCACCTGTTCAGGTGGTGATTAAACAGGCTAATGCATTAAAGACTAATTTACTACTATTAATAATAATGGAGTATAATAAGCTATCTGCGATAAGATTAATAATAAAATCTTACCTGTTTTATAAATTAATTCTCTCAGTAAGGCCTACCCTTAGTTTAGGCTAATGGAGGCTGCATGCACAAAAAGAGAACTCAATATCCACTCCATAGACCAACCACATTACCCTGCACAACAACAACAACAACAACAACAACAACAACAACGACGACGACGACGACGACAACAACAACAACAACATTATTTTTGTAGTCTTTTTTAACTTTTGGTCGCTTTTAATTTTATGGTAAAGTCATCTGACTTCCTGCTTCATTGTGTCAAATTTGATGGTGATCACAAAATGGCCGCGCCCTCTGACGTCAGAGGTAGCGGATAAAAAGGTAGGGCAGCGCAGCACTGTTCAAAGCCATGTTGGATTGAATGATCATTGGCACTGTCTGTTTCCACATTTAATAACAAAGCAGAGAGCTGCAGGATGAACTGTGGTAAACTGCAGATTATTGATTACTGATAGTGGTTCTTTATTCGGACTGTTTACTCTTTAGAAAGTCTGGTGAGTAAACATAAAGTAAAAAATAAAATAAAACTTTGAAGGAAAAATAAGATAATAAAAAATGTTTAAGAGCCAATAGGTTCGTTTATTATACAGACAGAACAAATCAACTGTTTTCCATTGAAATTCAGTGTGAGAGACGGAGAGAGACTAAGAGTCAGTCCATTTTCACTGACCTTTCCATTTGTCTGTGCAGAAAATAACTTGTTGGGACAAGTGCAGCAGGTATCATTTACTGTAATATAAACTGATGTCTTCATAGACTGACACGACTACACATGTGCATGTACTCTTGCTCACATACACACACGCACGCACGCACGCACACCATCACATTAGATCTTATTTCCAGCACACAGACAGTGACCCGGTCGATGGCATTTTAAAAGATGTGTGGCTAAAACGTGTGCTACCATCTATGTCTTCTCTCTCAGTTCAACAGATTTGTTTTCAGTTTAACGCCATTAAATCTTAATTACTGTGAGCGCTACATAAACACTTACTGTACCACTAACACCTCAAAACAAGGTTTCTGTTGCGAGAGAAGTCATGATCTCAGACCTGTTCCTTAAATGATTATACTCCACGTCTCAGTCCATGCTCAGCTACTGTAATTACGGCATGTCATGATAAAGCATGCAACGCAGTTACATGAGTGCACACAGTTCCCTGGCAGAAAGGCTCTTTGAGATGCTCCTCAGTGTATAAAGATGTTTGCCCCTGGAGTCATGGACTTTACATAATCAAATACATGATACTTTTTTTGCAGTGCCGTAAGGCGTGGGATATGAATACCGAATACGACCAAAACTACACAGTAAGAAGAAGCCAAGCTAAACAACAACAACAAAAAAAAAGGATGACATACCTTCTGGGACATGCTTGTCATGTTCACTGTCTGCTTTTGTCAGGTTATCATCATGTAAACTACACAACAACTTTAACACACTGTCACTGTGTTAAAATGATTCATCTTGAAATGAGGCGGTTGTCATTTTAGCCAGGGTCTTAACTATTGGTGTCCTGTATGAGCACCAGTCCACATCCTGCAGAAGTTTTCAGTAAGTGGTCAGTCAAAAACAAATGTGGTTCTTGGATAAAACAACCTATTTTGAGGAGGTCAAAGATCAGAAATGCAGTGCCTTGGTTATTTCAGTTACTCTGGAAAGATCACGTCAGAGAGATCATTTAAGACTGAGGAAGACAAGCTGTGAAAGAATGAAGGCCTACGGGAGATGTAGAGATATAGACGGTATAATATCATCTCTCTCCTCCTCCGCTCTGTCTGTCTGTGGCTGATTCTCACCCCTCCGTCACTTGTCAGTTTCTTCATTTGAATGCTCATGAGGGAGAGATGATGCTCTTTCTTTCTTTCCAATCTCCTCTATCACTTGTTCTTTCACAAAACACTTTACAGACATTTTTTTTTTCACAGCACAAGCTCCAGTTTGCTTTCCAAATCTGATAAGAGACATGAGATTAACTGTGTATCTGATCTTTACAGGGGATGGATTGGCTTATTACACGTGTGTTTCCGATCATTACCATTGAAGAAACCATTAAAGACCTCTCTTCCCAAACTGATGATCCAATAGCGATCAGTCTGAGCACAATCACTCGCACTGTATCGCTATCGACTGGAGGAGGAGTGATTTCTCTCCCCGGGTGTTGCGCTTTCAAAACGACTGACTGCAAATTTATGCACAACACACTGCATCCAGTATAAAGACATTCATTTGAGATTGATTTCTTTTAGGTGTTACAGGTGGTGGGGCTGTTAGTCTCTCAGGGGTCAGTGATGGATTAAATATAAATTATAAGAACAGGGGAGCTCTGAGAAGGTTCAAGAAGACTCGTGAATAAATCTTCATTTTTTAAAGCTTCATTTAACGCATTGTGCTCATGAGATGTGCATGAAGAGCTCACTATTGAATACCACACTGCATGTATTACCAGACATCACACAAACCCCACAGTTTTGCAGATAACAGAGCGTCAGGCTTGGAGACTGAAACAGGTGATCAAAAGCAAAAAAAAAAAAAAAGAAAAAAAAAGACCCCAACACCCCACACCACCACCCCACCCAAAAAAAAAAAAAATTAGAAATTTTGTATTCATGATGTGACATTTCACAGTCCACATTATCTACAGTAGGCTGAACAGCTCTGTAGTCAGCTGCTTAGTCTATTAATCCCCCCCCCCCCCTTCACACTCTGCCCTGCCTGACTCACCACAGGAAATTACTTTGGTGTTGCATGATGTATCGAAATGCCACACAGAGCCTCATAATATGGGCTGGAGTCAGAGCAACCTAGAGCTTAGGAATAAAGCGCTGATGCATCATGAAGCACATGTGTAGAGATCTGTTTGTTGTCATTAATATCAGCTCGAAATGAATTCAAAGACCAATTTCCACACCAGTCAAGCTCCAGTTCTGCGTTTCCCCTTGTGTTGTACAGACAACAAACACACAAACTTAATGGATAAAGGGTTTAAATAGCTGTAGTCACACATACACTAATGGTTGAAATAGTGAATGGATTCAGCAGATGGTTGAAACATTCAGGTTCTGCTTCTCCAGATGGCAGCAGTACAAAAAAAGAAATCAATCTAGTTCGATTGATGAAAACATTTTTATGCATTTCAATATTGTGAACTAACATCCAGCTTAAAATTATTTCAAATGAGCACATCTGGGAGGTGACGGGTGGTGCTGATGAAGGGGGGTTACATCTGACTCTCTGAAAAGGTTTGAAACCACTGGAGGATGGAGCATTCATTTATTTCAAGGTTTAAAAAAAACTTTATCTCCCCTTTGACTTTATGTTTCCTTCATGCATGCAGTGGTTTGAACAGAATCAAAGAAAGGCTTGAATGTTTTTCCTGGACTCACATGATCAGGTGGTGCACTTGGTTTATTTTGCTTACTGATGAACAATATACTGTATGTCATGTTCTTTCCACTGGATGGCATCAGCTGTTGTTACAGGTGGATTACTGTGTGTGCTTCTTTAATAAGTCCTTGCCCTCATTTTGGGTGCAGATGTGTGTGTGTGTGTGTGTGTGTGTGTGTGTGTACATGTTCACCATGTGTTGTGTGTGTGTAGCCTGTGTTTTTTATATGACCATGCAGTATGCTCATGTATTCTCTCATATGTGCAGTCAGCAGAGATGTGATAGTCCCAGAGGGAGGGCAGAAAGCTGAAGCACCAGACAGAGAGGATCATGGTCTGCTGAATGGAGCTGCTCGGCTTTCTGCTCCACCCTCCACGACCCTCCGTTATCACTTACACCACAAACATGTCTTGGCTTCAATGGTCATTCTCTTCCAGAGCTCCGTCAATGAGCTCTTAGTTCACTTGCCTTGATAAAAGATACTGTTGGACGCCGGAGCCCTGTGTATCTCACCAGCCAGATGTTTGACTTCTAAACCAAGTAAAACCTTTTTTGTTTATAGTTTTTTTGTTCAGTATGACTGTGGCTGCTGTGGGCTAAATTTAACAACTTGAAAAGGTTTACAAAACATCTCCACAATAGTACTTCACTTTGCATCTTTTGCATTTGTTGTACATGTGAGGTTTAGGTTGATATGCATTTCCAGACTGACAGCTATATCATCCTTGTATCTATGAAAAAATTAAACAAAATCCTCCTTCAAGTCAAGGACCTTCCGAGGGTGATTAACAACAGCAGTGACAAACTCAGGCTTTGTACCTGTTACCATCGACAGGTCGGCCTCAGTCTCAATAAACCAGTAAACTCAGTACAGTATAGTCCAGGTTGTCCTGCCGACGAGATCACTGTAAACTTTCTGAACATCACTGCATCATTCTAACCGTTTGTTTTTTCCCTCAAGCACATGAAGCGCCCAGGCTGTGTGCCTCTCTCTCTCTCCCTTCTCCTTCTCTATGACCCTGTTTAACACCTGCTGCTAAACCTGCTAAACTTCACTATAATTAATAATGATAATTATTGTTATTAGCTGTCA